ATATAGAAACTAGGCGAGGCTTTAGCTTTTCATTGCAAGAATAAAAGTTCAAAGCACAGCAAATACAGGGTGATTCACGGAAACTTCCTGTTTTGTATTTCTCGCCAAGCAGCCAGATGTAGGAAAAGGGCGGGGAGTATTTCAGATGAAAGCAAGGTCATGACATTTTGTGTCCCGACTAGTCAGTTGGCACTATGCATTGGACAAGTGAGCAGCGTGCATTTGCTGCCGTAACGTACTTTTCTAATGGCCGTTCCATTGGCCCGAGACAACATTTTGCAGAGCGCCTCATCTCCTTGAGAAGTGATCTTTTGTGGCCGGCCCAATCCCCCGATTTAGCTCCATGTGATTTTTTATGGGGCCATTTAATCAATTGTTTACGATGACTGTCCAAGGACCCTACCTCATTTGAAGAACAACATACGCCAAGCCATCGCCAACATACCCGTCAATTTGCTTCAGCAAGTTGCACGGAACTTCAAAAAATCGACTAACTGAATGCATTGACAATGGGGGCCGCCATTTGTTCGATATCATCTTTAAAACTAAGTCACACAAAAATTCAGGTAATGTCTTTTTCAATACAATTTATATTGGAATGATATCTTAACTAATATTTTTTTATCGAGCTTTCAAATCAGGAAGTTTCCTTGAATCACCCTGTAGCCGCATTTAAACGATACAACTGCAGTTAACATATCCTCAACCCTCAATAAATTGATCTATATGCTCACGAGTCTTATTTTCCTCAACGTGGCTGCGTACACTTCATTTAACTAATTTAATATTCGAAATAAGAGTTATATTTTAATTTACCAGTAACCAAGTATCAATTCTAATTATCCTGTTCGAATATCTACCATCAAAATGAAGGAATAAACAAAGCTACTAACAGAGAAAAAATTGCAGCTCGTGATTGGGAAAGTAATCGTGTCCGAGTCAGACATTTATTATTGACTCAATTTGTTAATTATGAACTCTAAGAAAATTCACCCTAAAAGAAAAATATATTCAATAAAACAAATTGTCGTCGTGATTTAAACATCTCTTCACATGAAAGGCAAATTTCCGACGAGCTTCTCATGAATGATAGATAAATTATGAATACATTTCTATAACTAATCAATAAATCATACACGAATTATGCACATATGATATGAATTATAAAATAATAGTGAACATTCAGGAGTTCAGTTGGCCGCCGCTGCAGGCAGTATATCAGCGTGATAGGTGGGAGCCATCAGCGTGATAGGTGGAGGTGTGGAGAATGGAGTAGTTTTGGGGGGATTAAATAAATGTAAATATGGGGTGTAGGGATTAAAGGAAGTGTTCTGTTTTGAAGTTGTGTTATACATGTGTGTCTGTGTGTCGAGTGAGTGTCTGTGTACTTTGTATAGCTGCAAACTCGCATGCGCAATTATTCTATGGGGATACCATTTTCTTCATATAATTAATCTAATATATGATTTATTGAATAATTAGGTATCAATCATTAAGTACCTACATGACATTTGCATCACATCACGGTAAAATAATCACATCGCAATATCATCACAATGATGCCATCATCACCGCCCTCAGGTCTGCCGGAGAGCTCGCACTTCACGGCGCCGCTGCCGCCCCACAAGCAGAAGATCTGGCTGGCTGCTCGCTCCTCTGGGGCCGCCCCCACCTACTTCAGGTGCAGGGTCCTGGCCCGCTCTGTTATGCTGTGCTGGGTCCCGTGCTGTGCTGGGTCTGTGCTGTGCTGGGTCCCGTGCTGTGCTGGGTCCTGTGCTGTGCTGGGTCCTGTGCTGTGCTGGGTCCCGTGCTATACTGGGTCCTGTGC